GAGAACTCGACGCTCTGAATGTGAACCGGAACCAACTTCTCTGGGCCTGGGTAGCTCGGACACTTATGCGGCACTGCCAGCGGCGGCGGGAATCGTGGGAACGCCCCCCCCAACCGCGGGGCCGTCTCGCCAGCGCTCATGTTTCACCGCCTTCATATCGCTGCGCTCCTGGGCATGGGCGCCCAGGCAACTGCCAGTAGCTGTTGGTTTGTCCGCGGGCTCTCCCGTTCCTGTTTTGGCCGAAAGAATCACCGTGGCCCTGGAATCGACGTCGCATTGCTGAAAATGGCGCCAGGCAAAATCCGCAATGCACCGGGCTCCCTCGCAACGTGTCTGGAAACACTTTCCGCCTCTCAATGGCATGCTGAGGCATGCGGGAGCACTCGCGTCGGGCCAGCGAATGGCCATCTGGCCCGCGCCAATCCCCCGTCCAGCATCGTTGCGTTCTCGACGGGCGGAGCCGCGCAGCGTTCAATTTCGAAAGCATTCGCTGGTCAGTTTCGGGCTCGCTGCCTGCTTCAAATTTTTGATTATCTGTGAGGCAGCGCTTCCGCGCGCGCCCTGATACCGTCTGGCAAGTGGTCTCTCTGGGCCCGGGCGCGACACGTCGGGCGGGCTCGGGCGCGAGTTCCCCCGTCGCCGGACTCAGCACTTGGTGGCGCGCAGAATTGCAATGAGTATTCATGCGCGCTTCCCTCTGGCGCGTGGAATTCGATGGCGCCGCGCTCGCGCATCGACTTCAGTCTCGCCCCTCGCCCTCTACTTCCTTTTTTTGTTGTTTGGATTTCCACGCGACGCTTCATTTCCGCGCGCGCAGTGCCGAGCTCATTCGCCTGGGACAAGCTGAAGGCTCAAACTGGCAGCGGCTGCGGGTCGCCGCGGCAGCGCGCCCGGGGCGGGAGGCCAGTGGCCGCGGCGTGGGCGAGGCCCGGCAAGTTCGAGAGCGGGGTCGGCAGCGGCTGAAAGCCCAATTGCCGGCGCGGGGGGGGGCGGCGGCGCGGAGACGGCGCCCGGAATCGCCTCTGCGCTGCTGCAGCTGCGGGGGGCCCATGGCGGCGGACGGCGACGCGGCCCCGAATTGGGGGCAACCGCCGCAGGGAATTGCGGCTCGCCGCGTGCAAGTGGAGCGCGAGCGGGGCCCCGCGAGCCGCCGTGGCGGCGGCCTCCTGGCGGGGCAGCGAGACTGCGCCGGGCGCAAACCCGCGCGCGCAGGAGCTGCGAGCGCCAGCGTGACCCTGCGCGCGCGCCGCCCGTCAGGCGGGGGCGGCGCGGGGGGGGGCGGTCCGCCTTAGGCCGCCGCGCGGCGTCGCGGCCTGGGGCAGCGGCGGGGGTCGCGCCGCGCGGTTGGGCCGACCGGGGGGCGGCCGCGACCGGCGGCAGCTGGCGCGGCAAAGCGGGATTCCGCTGCCTCATCTGTAGACGATGCGCGCGACGCCCTCGGACGGCAATGCTCCGCCTGAAACGGGCTCTGCATGTCGCTTGTCGATCTCTTGCGGGGCGCGAGGGGCGGGTGGGCCAGCGCGCCCGGAGGGGGCGCGGCGCGGGTCGCGATGCGGGGCGGGCGGCCCCGCGCAGTCGACGCTGAAACGGTCGCGCGTGCGCGTTCCATCGCAATTGGCGCTGCGCGCGCGATGGATAGCACGCGCCGCGTCATCTGCGCGCCCCCTAGCTGCCCGACAGTCCATCTCCCGAGCAATCGCGCGCTCCCGACTGCATGGCAGAATTCTATAATCATGGGTGCCAGCGCATCAGAATTCGTGGTAATGGTGCGTAGTTTCCTCGCGTGCGTACTTGCGCCGCTTGTCGGCCGTGCGCACATCTGTGAATAGTGCCCTCGGCAAAATTGCGCGCTCGTTGGAAATTCTTTGATCCCGGCATCGCGCCAACACCCTCAGTGCGACGGCAACTCCAGGCACGCCGCGCCCCCATTGACCTGCAACTATAGAAGCCAACGGCCCAAACGACGAAGGCACTTGCCTGGCCGAAGATCGTTCCCTGTTTGGTCGGCTTAGTGCGCCGAGATCATTTCTCAATGATATGTTGCCTCATGCACACGCAGAATTCCCGCGCACTGCGTAAAGGTCCACCGAGCGACATGTTTGTCCGCGACCCCCCGGATGGCATGCGCGCCTTTCTCTATGCCATCATCTGCGGTAAGATCATGGCTTTGGTTGATCAGATTACCTCGCGCCTATGTTTGGTCATGCGCCCCTCTTGATCCAATATGCTGTTGCTCCCGCGGCTGAAATTCGATTCACACGGTCTGTCTTCGCCTTTCCGCGGCTCTGAGCACAATAGCAGCGGCGACTGGCTTCTCTCTCCGTTCCTGGCAGCGAGAATTGGCGTTCCTTCGCCTTCCGCGGTTGTATATAACGGCTTCCAGGCCGGAGCTTTACAGGAGGGTCCAGTCTACGGTTCCCCCCCAGGCCCCATGGGAAGCCCTTTCTCAAATGTCGACTGGGAATGCGACAAACAATTTGAAGCCGTCCGGAACCCTGGTGAGACTGCGCGCACGAAGTAAATCACCTTCACTCAGGATTTGCGTTCCATAGGCTCCAGTTGTTTACACGTTGCACAATTCTCGAAGACCAGTTGCACAACTCCCAGAAACAAGCGGCTCAACTATAGCCGATGCATCCACCATGTGTCTTGGGCACGCGCACCAATTTCTGTGATCCTCCGCTTTGCATATTTGGCAAACGGCTTGATTATCTTCAGCTAAGGCGCGCAATGGCAAACATTTTAACACTGTCAGCCAGAAAATCATCGCATGAAGCAGTTCTGGCACAAACGCCAAACTGGCGGCCGCGATTTCAATCTCTGGGAATATGTGGGAGACACATGGGTGTCTCCTGGGTGTCGTAGTCTGATAGGCCTCCGCGCGAAGCCCCCCCCAATCTGTTCTGATTCGTACCACTCGTGCTTCTATGCGTCCGGATGTCACTAGGTAGGTCGGCAACGACGAAGTGTTTCAAAACCGCTTATTCAAGGCACCCCCCCCAGGACCCTTGCTGGTATTTCAGCGTGGTCTGGATGTAGCATATCAAAAGAAAATCGCAGGCCCAGCGGGCCAAGGGTGTGCTAAGATCTCTGGCATCTGGTTAACAATATTTCTGGTTCGCGCGCGCGGGGCCGCCCCTGGGGGTCCCCGGACGAAGAATACCCCCGCAAGTCCTGGCCAACCCCCGGCCAACCCGCGGCCGGGTCCCCGGGAGGTCCCAGCCAGGTCCCAGCAGGCTCCCAAGAGCGCTCCAGGAGCGCTTCAAGTGGCCTCCAAGAGGGCTCAACATGGTCCGAGACGGTCCAAAAGCGAGTCAAGACGCCAGAGATTGCCTCCAGACAGCCCAAAGCGCCTTCAAGACGCCCCAAGAGGCCTCCAAGAGACCTCCCAAGAGGGCCCACAGAGGCAAACATTAGTGATTCTCCTTCAGTTTCTGACGGAGTTTTGGCGTTCTCACATTTTCGGCTTGCCCGCGCTCCAAGATGCCCAAAGAGGCTCCAAGACCAACCCAAGACGGCCCACGAAGCCCCCAAGAGAGCCCCAAGACGGCCCAAGATGGCCCCAAGATAGCCCAAGAGGCGCCCAAGACAGCCCAAGGGGCCCAAAACGGCCCCAAGAGGGGCCCAAGAAGGGGACCAGGAACCAAAAAGTCTAGCCTTCGGCCCCAAGAGGCCCCCGGGAGGCCCCTAGGAGGCCCCCAAGAGGCCCCGAGGCACACACAAGAGGCACCCCAAGAAGCCCCAAGAGGCCCTCAAGAGGCCCCAACACGGCCCCCAAAAGGCCTCAAAACTGCCTCCCAAAGGCCCCTGAGAGGCCAACCGCGAGAGCCCAACCAACATCCGTGAGGCCTCGGACCCGCCACCCACCGCCTCCGAAAAATGGCAGCCGCCCAACCGCACCGCATCGACAACAGCACCCCGACAAACGACAGCGGCGAGGCAATATGGGCCCGCGGAATGAGCGAAGCGATTAAATAAATCAATATCCTGTGGCTGTCCATTTTGCCACACATATGGCTGACTGGCACACAGCTCTTCAGAGGTCGAGGCGAACCGCACGGGACACGAGAGAGAGAGAGAGAGGAAGAGAGAACGAGAGAGAGAGAGAGAGAGAGACAGAGAGAGGCTGACAGCATCGCCGCTGAAGAACATTCAAATGTACCTTCCCTGGCTGGCCAGAGCTGGGCGTTGCCTAATGGGTGGGCGATCAAAGAAGGGGCGAAAAAACGTGCACCGTTCGTGCCCTTCCTGGGCCCCAGGGGGGCCCTCTAGGGCACCAGCCGAGGTGCGCAAAAGGTGTTCCCGTCTTCCCCCCCCGTTTCGGACAACCGCGTTCCACTACTCGCAAAGTAGCTACTCGCAAGTGGCTTGGATCCGCCGAAGGGGACTTACGATGCATACGACCGAAGAGAAATCGTAAGATCTCCAGACGTTTGCGAGCAAGCACTTTGCAAATCGTGGAACGAGCTCGGTGACACCGACCGTTCACCATTACGCAACGCCCGACAAATCTGGGCAGACACTCGCCAGAAAGGGGGAGGAGGAGGAGGAGGAGGAGGAGGAGGAGGAGGAGGAGAGGAGGAGGGGGAGGAGGAGGAGGAGGAGGAGGAGGAGGAGCAAGGGGAGGAGGAGGAGGAGGAGGAGGAGGAGGAGGAGGAGGAGAGGAGGAGGAGGAGGAGGAGGAGGGGGGACGCGAAATAGGAGAGGAGGAGGAGGAGGAGGAGGAGGAGGAGGAGGAGGAGGAGGAGGAGGAGGAGGAGGAGGGGGAGGAGGAGGAGGAGGGGGAGGAGGAGGGGGAGGAGGAGGAGGAGGAGGGGAGGAGGAGGAGGAGGAGGAGGAGGAGGAGAGGAGGAGGGGGAGGAGGAGGAGGAGGAGGAGGAGGAGGAGGAGGAGGAGGAGGAGGAGGAGAGGGGTGAGGAGGAGGAGCGGGTGAGAAGCCCCCGACGGCCAGGGCCCGAGAGGCGGGGGCCGAGCGGTGCGGGATTGGCGTGGCCACATGCCTGGTACAGGTGCTCGGGCAGCATGACGTGGCCCCGCGGATTGGCGCGCGGCGCGCGGTGGGGGCGGCCGCTCGCCATCGAGCTGGCGCGCACTCCGTGTGACGCCGCTGCCGCGGGGAAGCTCGCGAGAAGGAGCCCCGGCCCACCCTTCGGGTCGAGAGGGAGAGGTGGGGGTGACGGCGAGGGCACGTGCGCACGGTGTGGTTCGTGGGACGGGAGCCGATTGGCGGGGAATCTGGAAGGAGGAGGGTAGGAGGGGGAGGGGGGGGGAGGAGGGGAAGGGAGGGAGGGAACGTGGAGGGGAGGGAGAACGAATGAAGGAAGAATGGAGGGAAGGGAGGAGAAAGCCTCACGACAGGTCTGGTCGCCAACAGCGGGGCATCTGAGGGCAACCCTGGCCTCCGAAGTGTACAAAAGGCGCTGGCCCTTGCACGGCCAACTTCCAGGAATCACGACTGTGCAGTACATTGGATGAGGACGGATGGTGCGAGGAAGATGGGAGCGTTACTCGGCGGCCCGCCCGGGGGGGAAGCAAGAGGGGGCGGGCCTTATCAGAAGGCTCGGAGGGCCTCCGGTCCTGAGGTAAGATGCCCTAGCCTTCCCCGAAGATGCAGGAAGCTTCTCAGAAGGCACGAGGGCTTCTGAGAAGCCTCGCCGCCTTCCGAGAAGGCCTCCTCCCTCTCACTGCCCCTCCGGGCGCGCCGCCGAGAGACATCCTTCTTCGGCCCCCCGTGGCTGCAGCTGCAGCCGCTGCAGCTGCTGAGCCCGCGGGGCTGGAGCCATAAGGGCTGCCTGCGTGGGGAGAGGCGGCCGCAGACACGCGCGTGCTGCTCGCCATGTGGGGCAGGTGGCTGTGCGGCCGGGGAGGAGGACGAGGAGGAGGAGGAGGAGGAGGAGGAGGAGGAGGAGGAGGAGGAGGAGAGGGAGGAGGAGGAGGATGAGGAAGAAGAGGAGCAGGAGGAGGAGGAGGAGGAGGAGGAGGAGGAGGAGGAGGAGGAGGACCACCAGCGTGCTCATACAGAGTTCGGGGCACACGGTTTTACCATGCGCTGGGCATACCTGGTCACGGCTCGTCGATCAAGGTTTCTGGGATGCCTGCGGGATCGCTCGTGACCTGTGTCATGCGGACGCGTGGATACCGAGGACAGGAGGCATGTGGCAGCAAGCGAAGACAAGTCGAGCAACTTGTACGCGAGCATTGGGGGCAAGGAGAAGCCAGCGGAAGCAAGCCGCACCTCATGGAAGCATCTGGGGGGACGCCTGGGGGCTGGTGGAAGCAATCGGGCGTAATGGATCTCTACACATGGAAGCCAGAGGGTGCAAGGCGCTGACGCCTCAGCGCCAGCCTTTGTGTACAGCCGAAGACATGAGCAAGAAACCATAAATTAAGAGACCTACGCCAGCTTCCAAATGTCTTGAGACAAGTCTGGGCCAATTTCTGTCGCTGACGCTAGAAGGGCGAACGTGCTCAAGAGACTGGGGGGCAACTTTCGGGCAATTAGTTCGTAGAGCAAACGCTGGCCCAGCTACCGGGAGGAGGTTTCTTCATCAGATGATTGATCGATTAAGTTCTGAACGGAAAACGGTGTAAAACTGAGTTCGAGCGGGGGGGTGGCATGTCGAAGCAAGGGCAAAGGGCTCGTCGGGAACTACAGTCGACCCGTATCATAAGGATGCTTGGTAGGGACCCACGGGCCTTGGAGGGCCATGGTAGCGTTTTTCGGACGAGGTTGGCCAGCGAAAGTCGCTATGGATGGGCCGACGAGGTGAGGACGCAAAGGTATCCTTGGGAAGGTTGCCCACCCTTACTATGCGGGTTGACTGTATTCGCGGCCGCCGCGGCTCCCGACGTGTGCACGGACGGCGCGCACAAGGGCTGCAAAACGCGGGTGGGGCGAAAGGAGCCACCTCCCCAGAAGGCAGGAGGGCGAGGGGGGGGTGGTCGGTGGTCTTACAAGGTAAAAAAGGAAAGGCAGGAGGAGGAGAGGAAGGAGAAAAAGAGGAGGAAGTGGAGGAGGAGGAGGAGGAGGGGAAGGAGGATGAGGAGAGGAAGGAAGACGAGGAGGATGAGGGAGAGGAGGAGGGCGAGGGAGGCGGTCGTACAAGGCAGGGGGCACCAACCGCCTTTTGCGAAACCTTCTCGCGAGCCTTTTTTTGTTAGGGGGGGGGGGAGGGGCGCGACCACAGAGCTTCTCGCAGCCCCCTGCCCCATCCAGGACCCCATCCAGGAAGCCACTGGTTCGCTAGGCCACCAGAGGCCGGCCGCACGCAGGAGCGACCCTGTGCAGGAGTGCCCTTTGCTGCGCGCTTCCGGGGAGCGCGCAGGCCAACATTCTGGGGCCCCCCTTGGAGCCCGTCACCGGCGGCGTCGGCGACTGGCACCTGGGGGGGGGGGGGGGGAGGGGGCACCCTAGGGGGGGGGGAGGCAAGGACACCCTAGGGGGGGCACAGGGGGGGGGGGGGGGGTCACTCTTTAGAGGGGGACGGGCGGGGGCTTCGACGGAGCCCTCCGCCGCGCCCCGCGGAGGCCTGACGAGGACGGACGACGCCGTGCCCGCGCCCCGCCATCGGAGCAGGGAGCGAAGCGCTGCCACGGCGACGGGCTCCCGGCGGCGGCGTGTCGTTGGTGCTCTTCCTCCCTCCCGGGAGTCGTGCTGCCCCCGTCGTGCTGAAGTAGGGGGCCACATGCGAACCCTACCCCTACCCCCCACGATTTCTGAAGTGAACCCCACCGTCCCCCTCAGAAATCGTGGGGGGTAGGGGTAGGGTTCGCATGTGGCCCCCTAGTAAGCACCACATCCCAGAGATACCCATCGGTCGGAAGGAGCAGGTAGAAACCTGAAGCAGGAAGGCGTTGGAAACAGATTGGGTTTCCGCTTTCCCTGAAGAGGGGGAAGAGGGAAAACCACTCGACTCTTGAAGTAGGGAGGCGCTGAAAGTAGATTGGAATCTGGGAATCCCAAAATACCTACTTTCAACGACCGATGGGTAATATCGGGCACCCAAACAAGAAGTATCGGACCAGTGCCTGCCCGACACGCCAGCGAAGCATCGAACGAGCATCGCCCCCAAGGGCCCGACACGTGACAGCCCTCCAGTTTCGGTACTCCCCGGGTGCTCGAAACTTTTCTAGTGACCAAGGCTGGAGTAGTTTGGAACATCATAACCCGAGAGGTCGTCACGTGAACGGTTTCTTATGCGGCGTTTCGATATTGGGCGGAAGGGGGGTCTGCCTCCAGACCTCTGCTCAGTGCACCTGTTTGCAGCGGTGCGTCCATTCATGGGGGAGGCTCCACCTGCTCGAAGCGGGCGCCAAAAACAGCCAAGATCCGCTCCACAGGGGGGGGGAGGAGGGTGCGAAGGCCCGCGCCAATGGGCAAAACACTGAATGATACAGGAGAAAAACCCAATACAAGGAATCTTATTAGGGCTATCGGGCAATGGGGACTATAGGGCTCAGGGCAATAAGGCTATGGGGCTATATGGCTATAAGGCTAGAGGGCTACAGGGCTATAAGGCTATGAGGCTATCGGGCTACCGGGCTCTTGGACACCTGGGCACCCGGGCACCCGCAGAAATCGGCGGCGCACCTCACCGAACTTTATGAATCCGCTAGAACCCCTACAGAGGCAAGCTCTGATTGGGGAGAAGAAACGATGCCACTCAGGTGAAAGGCCACGCCTGCGCGTCACCCAAGGAGGCCGCCCCCCCCCTCGCCCGTTGCCCCCCTCGTGCGCACTGCCGCGGTCAGCGGCCAGGCGGCCACGCGAGACCACGGCAGCGCAGGGCAGGCGTCCACCCAGCACTAGGCTGAGGTCGGGCATGTCCCCCTGCAGGCGGACCTCGGAAGACAGCCATGGGAACACGCGCGAACCATCTATAAACCACAGCGGCAAAGTCGCCCCCAGACGGTCTGGTTGAACCAATGTTGAACACTCCTCCAGGAAGGGGACACGCCCGACCTAAATTTAAGTCGGGCGTGTCCACCTACAGGGGGATTTTCGACCAACAAATAATTACGAAGACCCTAAACATACCACCAAATGGTCAACAAATATTCAAAACATAATCCCCCTGTAGGGGGACACGCCCGACCTAAAACTCGGCAGGGCCAATCGCGGCGGGCCAGGACCCCGGCGGCCGCATGACGCTCGTCAGAGCAGGTCGCCCCGACGCCCGGGCGGTCCAGCACGCGCGGCCCATCGGGGCTGGGCACGGCCAACCGACTCCGCGGCGGCCCAGGAGGAGGAGGAGGAGGAGGAGGAGGAGGAGGAGGAGGAGGAGGAGGAGAGAAGCGCCCAGTCGAAACGAGTTGTTGCCAGCCGAGTTCCCAGCAGTCCAGCGCGGGCAGCCTTGGCCGGACTCTCTCCAGACAACATCCGCCAATCTCATTTGGGCTTCGTCTGCCTGTGCTGTTCCTTCTCAGTCTCTCGTTCTCTCCCTGTCTCTGTTGTTGTGTTCCCTCTCTCTATGTATATATGTATATGTCCCTCTCCCCCTATGATATTTTATGTGCTATCCATCCACATCTCTCGGTATCTCTCTACTTCTGTGTATGTCTCTCTCTGTCTTTCCCTCGGGCATCGTCTCATCTTGTCACGTCTCGTATCGTCTCGTGTCGACTTGTCTCACCTCGAATTGTTTCGTGTCGTATCGTCTCGCTTCGTCTCGCCTCGCCCCTTGCTCTCTCACTCTCTCTGTTTCTCTGTCTTTCTCTTTCTCTCTCCCTCTCACTATTTGGGTTTGACTGGTCTCTGCTCTCGATGCTCGTGCGCCTGTCTTTTGACGGTACCTCGCCATGACATCCGCTGCCAGATCATGCGCCTGGGACCAGCGGCCAGTCAGGGGGCGACCTATGCGGTATTAGGACTGCTTTTTCCCTACCTAGGCTCTGCCTAGAAGGGTTCTTACTCTCTTAGCTTAAAGGGGCCGGGCAGTGGAAAGCGCCCCGGGCGGTTCCCCCAGTCCCCTGGGAGCGGTTCCCCCAGTCCCCTGGGAGCTTTAGCTTTAGCTTTAGCGTTAGCTTTAGCTTTAGCTTTAGTTTAGCTTTAGCTTAGCTTTAGCTTAGCTTTAGCTTAGCTTTAGCTTTAGCTTAGCTTTAGCTTAGCTTAGCGTTTAGCTTAGCGTTTAGCTTAGCGTTTAGCTGAGCCTTTAGCTTAGCCTTTAGCATAGCATTTAGCTTAGCCTTAGCTTAGCTTTAGGTTGGCTTTAGCTTAGCTTTAGCTTAGCTTTAGCTTAGCTGTAGCTTAGCTTCAGCTTAGCTTTTGCTCAGCTTTAGCTTAGCTGTAGCTTAGCTTTAGCTTAGCTTTAGCTTATCGTTAGCTTAGCTTTAGCTTAGCGTTAGCTTAGCTTTAGCTTAGCGTTAGCTTAGCTTTAGCTTAGCTGTGGCTTAGCTTTAGCTTAGCTTTACTGTTACTACTAATGCTGCTTTCCTAGGGGTTCCAACTCCTAGGTAGGGTCGCACTGGGATAATTTGTCAGTCAGGGCTGACATGTGGAACGCCACGTAAGTGACGAGGGTTAGGTCGGGCATGTCCCCAGACTATGTCTTGACTATGTCTGGATACTCCTCCTGCAGAGGGACATGCCCGACTTAAGACGAGGGTCTTGTTAGAAAAAAGGCGAGCCTCGGCCACGAACAGGTCTCTGGACCTAAAACCGATGGAGCGGGCCGAAGACGAGAGCCCTTGGCCACGCTCGCGGCAGGACAGTTTCAGCCTCCACTTTAGGACACCTGCTGTGCAAGCGCTGCTTTGGAAGCTCGCTCCCGCGCCGCCGGTACCGAGCAGCTTCAACTCCCTGGCCGCCCCGGACCACATCCAGCGTTGCCGCCCGTGGTGTCTCAAGACTGCACCCCCCCGCTTGCTGGCACAATCGATTCCAAACAGGCTTAAGCATAGAGT